TTTATATAAAAGAAAAGAGAGAAACAGAGGGCAGAAATATGCAGTATGTGCATGTGAAGAAACACCTTTTACATGTATATACATGTATACATGTACATAGTCTATTAACTTTGTTTTGGGGCACTGTATATTAACAGACACATTCATGCTAGCCCTAAGGCAATCTATCAAGTTCGTAGTAAGGCTGAGTCAATTCGAATATTTGACTCTCAAGTCGATCGAATATTCGGTCATACCAGCTGCCAGATTGTTGATGAACAAGCCATAATCAGTTCTAATAATGCCCACAATTGTTCACTTTAATCACTATAATCACTATAATAGCTTCTCACATCTAAGGCTATCTCCAGCCATGATTTAGCAAGATTTGACACATGCAATTGACACATTAAAGTGCACAAAGTAAACATGCATGCATAAAGAGATGGAACTACATGAATACACCCCTTGGTGCAGGGTACATGTACATGTATATTACATGTACATGGGATCTTGTTAGATCGGGTACATGTAGTTGGGAATGATTGTTCAGCAGTAGGCCTGTGCTGGGTATCCGGCTACCCAGGGTACTCACCCGTTGATATCAAAACCTGGTTAAATTTTTTCGTAAACCCGTAAAAACTTAATTAATTTATACACGTAAATAAATAACAAAAATTCACATGTAAAATGTCTGTGGAATTTAATACCGAAGGGCAGAATTGCTGTAAAGTCACCTGCTGCTGGTGTGTAGGTGGTTTGCCAATCTGTGGTCTGTTCTGATGTTCCTCGTTAAAATTTTTGCTTTCCTGCTTCACATACTTAAAGACAGAAGATTTTGCAAATTGAAGGTAACTATTTCACTAGATAAAAAAAAAGGGGAGATTACCCGGACATTTATAACGATGTCCTGCTTCCTACGGATGAAGTCACTGCAGAATGAGGACAAATCGGCCACAAAAGACAGCCTCAATAAGGCATTGGAACTGGTCTAGAAACGTCAAAAGCTCTTTTAGCTGGCAGACAGATCCCCTCAAGGATGGTCAATGTTCAAAGAGTACATCTATGTCACCGACAACTTGGCTGAAGACTCGGATGACAAACAGTGGCTGCATAAGGCCAAGAAAGCAGCCGCCGCTAAGAAAGTAGAGGCAAAAAAAAAAAAGAGCAAAGCCAGAAGCTCCATCTCCACACCACGTTTTCCGATGGCTTTGCCAACTCATCGTCATTTTTGTCGTTACCCCCAGTTCATCAACCCTCACCGTTGACAACCAAGTCTGCTTCCAGTGTGGCATCATTGGCCACGTCCATGCCTGTTGCCCTGCACTTCAAGCCATACAAGGCGCAGCACAGCCAAGCAACCCAAGGGTCACCCCTGCCAGATGGCCACGCCCTCAAAAGAAAGCCGGGTCGACTTGGAATCTACCACGCCCCCCCTGCATGGCGTAAAAGGGAGATTAAAACCATGTCTGAAATACTGGTCTGAGCAGCTAAAAGCAAACCCCTTGGTCATCGATACTATAATTCACCGATACAAAATACCATTCTTATCAACTCCCCTAGGCTGACCCCGGTTAAGAAATTATCCTCCATAGCAGGTCAGCTATGTCACCAGCTTTGGGTCCAATCTTTAGGTTCATAACCTATGACTGTTACCGCGCTATTGAGTCGACCTGGTTCTACTCAATTGTCTTCTCTTCTGTATTACAATGTATTAGAATTCGAGTTCTGGGTTAGCAACCTAACAAGCCTCAACGGTTTCCCTTTTAAATACCACCTTGCATATACCATGCAAGTTTTCTTGGATGCTAACAATAGCAGCCAAAGTGGTTGGGTTCAAAACCAACCAAACCTTCATTTTCATGGTTACTAGTTGCCCTCGGAGATGAAAAAGAGCTCAACAAGGCAAGAATTATCGGCAGTTGCCAATATACTCTCCCAAGGCCTAATTGTTTTTGCGCATTAGCGAATCAAGTGGTTAATTGACAACTCGAGCGTTCCTGCGATACTTAAACACAGCACCACCAAACTGGATTTGCACGTTCTGGCTATAGATATCTTCACATTATGCTGTTCACAAGACATCCTCATTTTTCCTGAACATGCTGAATGGCTTCCTAGAAGCAAAAATAAAAGTGCTGATCAAATTGTCAGAAGTAAAGATTACGATGACTGGGCAATCAATGACCATTCCTTTTCTGTTATCAACTCCTAGTGGGATCCTCATACCGTAGACCATTTTGCGTCCCCCATAATGCTAAGTTGGCAGTATTGAACGTCAGATTTTGGTGCAATGGTGTATCTGGGGTTGACTCCTGTCAAAATTGGTCAACAGATAATAATTATTCATGCCTGCCTGTATGCCTTATAGGCCAGGTTGTCAAACGCATGCTACATGACAAAGCTAAAGGCATGATGGTTGTACCCAAATTGTCTTCTTTGCAATTTTGGCCTTTTAATTTGCTATTAAGACAGCATGCATTTGCACAGTCAGATTTGCAACTGGAAATTTATGCAGATCAAATTTTCTCCACCTTCACTAGGTTCCAGATCAGAGTTCGGTGAGAACCCAACATTCCTATCCCTGGCCCTCAGAATCGATCATGCCAACCCAACCAGAATCTCCAAACAGGGATTTTGCTGTTCAGACCTTGGTTACTGCAACCCTTGCATCATTTGATAGTGCAGTACAGTTTGTAAGTAGTGAGGTGATTCAGCAGAATTGGTGTAGTAAGAAACAATTTGTAAAGTGTCAGGCTGATTTGTAGCCTTTTCCCACCAGTCGTTAGTGGACTGCTTTTGGCAGATAACTCTCCTTGGGACATGAAACTGCCTTTTTTTTTGGACAGAATGTAGTGTAGCATTAAGAGTCTTAGGCAATTTTGACGGCTGTGTATTCAGGTTTTTCCCCCATACGTCTTTGGCACTTAATCATTTAGCGAGTTTCCAATGCTCCGCCTTTCCAATGGTTCACCTAAACATTATTGTGTTTTCAATGATTTTCCATGTTCTTTTTAACATGAGGTAGAGATATTATCATTTCATTATTTAGTATTATTTATATGGCAAAGATATTAAGTTTCCAAGTAGAAATGTAGTAAGAAAGTGTTTAACCGTTATCTTTCCCTCAAAAACACTAATTCAAGCATGTGTGCATAGGTTTCTACATACATACATGTACACTTATCCGTCATGACAAATCCTCATGTGACTGTCACTTTCCATGTACCGTGGTAACCTGACGCTCAAAGTTCCAGTGTACATGTTACATTGTACTGGTACTGTATATCAAGCAACAGATACTGTAATGTACTGCATGCATGAAATATTTCCACGCAGTCAGGTACCAGCACCAGGGTGGAGTCACAACATTGGAATTTGGATTATGCATAACAAACTGCGTCAGTTTTTGTCTTGAATTTAATCTTTAAATTCCAATTTCAGAAAACACTATCAATCACTTTTTATCCTTCAGCCTTACAGCACACCAAAAAAGAGACTTAATTGCAAGGTACATGTACTTGTCCATTAACATTTACTTGTTATACTGTAGGTAAATGTACAGTACATGTACATTGTACTTCTGTCCAGAACACAGTATTTTCACAGGCCCAAAACAATCAAGTGACCGGGCAACAAATACATCATGTACATGTATGTGTATATACATGTACAAACTGATAGTGTCACTATATTGACCACTGAGTATCAAATGATGTCAGCAAATGGCATCAAGGTGCCACTGGAAGTGCCAACTTGATAGAAAGTTACTGTGGAATGGTTTCCTGTGTCCTCAGGATGTAACACACTTGTCAGATTTCCTTATCAGTACTTCCACTACCTACTATGCATCCCGTCATTTCTATAAACAAAGTATTTATGACTACAACTCTGTGATACTGATATGTCACATGTACATGTACAGTGTAAAGTACAGAGCTTAGCTTTGTACAGATTTCCTATTAGATGATATGCATTTATGGGTATATGAATATTTCACATTATATCATATCAAGATGTCCACTGTTTTCCTTGTGAACCCCCTCCCCTTCTTTCTTTGGATTGCAAAGAATTTAACTCTGTGGATTAGTCAAGTGACAAGTGATGACATCATCATGACCCTCATCACGACATCCTTCTTCT